GTCAGATTTTTGGACAAGCCATTGCTGGCGACATGTCTTTATTTGGAAACTATTGCACAGGGACTTACAGTGAAAAAGCAGCTTTCAAAGCCCTCCATAATGTAACACTATCCTACCACCTCTCCAATCTGCTCTACCATGCCCTCCCCCATGTGAATTCACCTTGGCCAGACCTACAAACCCACCCCATATCCTCCTCCATCCCTGCTCTTTGTCCTTGCTCATTCCATTTCCTTCGCTCGAAATGTCTGTCTAGATTGTGCCCATCTTCTGAGTGGTCCAGCTTCAACTCTGTTCTCTCCCCCAACACCCCGACCCCGACAAACCTCTGGGGAACCTGTAGTTGACATTTTCTCTCCTTTTGTGCTCACTGCACTTTTTGCCTACCCTACACAGTTTAATTATTGAAAAACCACCTTATATGTTCTATTTAGATGTGTTGGCTTTAATCAATCTGTATGTCCCCCAGCCTTGTCCCAGAATTCTTTATATGTCCCAAGGATGTCTCCACAGTGCTCTGAACACTGTAGGGCCTTAGGAAATACTGATGGCTTTGATTGGTTATATAAAAAAAAAAAATGTAAGTGACCAAAAAGATGCATAACTAGGAAGACTTGTAGAAATGTTCAGCAAAAACTGTGAGAGTGGTTCCAGGTGGTCCCTTCTTGGGGGCAGTGGTATAATGGTTTTTCTTTCCAGACAGGCCCCTGATGGTCCTAGAATCCCACGGAGGCCCATGGAAGGTGGTGTTGGGTGGACAGTGTCCAGCAGGCAAACAAGACCATAAATGCAAAGCCAGAGAAGCCAAACAACGTTCACTTTACAACTCCAGGTGATGAGAATGGTATTTATAGACTCAGTGACATGTTTGAAGCTGTGAGTCCCAGAGGCTAATATTTTAAGCTGGATATCCTGAGACCCAGACATTCTGTTTTTGTTCTCCTCCCCATCCTTCCCTCCTGTAACCCCTGGAACTTTCCGTGCAATTTGGACAAAAGCATGAAACCTCTATTGTTTCTCAATCCTTACTAGTGCTAGGGAAGGATTTAAGCACTGCTTCATAGAAGGGTGATTTGTAATGAGTGGAAAACACTCTGAGGCCTCAAGATGACATTTGCCATGACATCAAAACTTCCATCAGAAAATTTCAAAATTTTAGGCAGAGACAAGGGCCTTTCTACCATCAGAGAACTCCAAGGGCAAAGGGGCTGAGGGCTGGAAGGGTGAGGCCTCATTTCTAGATGAACCCATCTCGGCCAGAGGTTCTGGAGAGTCTAGGTCCACCTATTTAAGAACTTTCTTTCTCTTAGGTCCATTTTTATATTGGGTAATAATTCCTGAGGCAAATCTGTAAACAAAGGGTGGGAACCTAAAACTTTGCTATTTATATAGCCCCGAATAAAATGGGGAAATCAGTGTTTTCCTTCAAAGCAATCTAGAAAGTACTAGCCAAAGAACAAATTGCAAACAGCTACACAAGCATCAGGGAAATCCCATCGATCATAAGAGATGGAAAATAACCATGAGATCATCATGCTCATCTCCCCTGGGGCCTGGACATCCAGGATGCAGCTTCACAGTGCCCCTTCGGAGGGTGTGGCGGGCATTACCTCTCTTTTCCTTTGCCCCATGAATGTGCTTCTGATTAGTCGCCCTTACATCCCCTGAAGACAGGCAGCAACCACAGAACACAGTACCTCATGCATGGAAATTAAGTCCAGAACATTCTCTACCTGGTGGGGTTTTTGCTGTTTATAAACAACTCTAGATGTTCACAGTTCACTCAACCGTGCTGGCTGGTTTCATGCACAAGTCAGACCTGGTGAAACTGAAACATGCACTAAATCCTGTAGTCACTTTAGGCCCAATTCCAACATTTCAAAGCTATCAACACAGGAAAAAAGTTGTACCTGTTTTCATGCTGAGAAAAGCAGATAGCTAATCTGTACCAGGAAAACAAACAAGAATAATGATCTGAAAATAACTTGGAAGTTTTTGTTTTCACCAAAGGAAGCGTAGTGAAAAACACACATAAGACATGCATGCATGCACATACATATACATGCGCACACATATGTACATGCATATATACATACACATAATATATGCAAACGTGTGTGCATGCACACATACATACATACTGTATGTACACATATGTATACACGCACACACATACACTGTATGCACACATGTATACATACACACACTGTTCATACATGTAAACATACTGTACACATGTATACACACTGTATGCATACACATGTACATGTATGCACATACACATACGGTATACACATATACATGCATGTACACATACACATACTATATGCACACATGTATACATGCACACACATACACGCTAGTACACATATGTATGTGTTCACACATACACACATGTGCACATACTATACACATGTATACATGCACATACACATTCTGTATGCACACGTGTATATATGCACATATACATACTGTGTACACATGCATGCACATTATATACACATATATATGCATATACATACACATACTGTATGCACACTTATATACATGCACACCCATACACATACACATACAGTATGCACACATATACACTGTACACACACATCTATACATACACATGCACATGCATATACACAAACATGCTGTACACATGTGTACATATACATCTGCACACATGCACACATATGTATGCACACACACATACACATACTGTACACACATACAGACATACATGCATACATACATACTATACACACATATACACATAACATGCACACATATACATGCACGTGCATACATATACACATGTACACATACACATATACACACATTTACATGTATACATACATATACACGTTTTTCCTCCTAATTACTAAAATAAATGCTCAATGCAAAAACCGAAAAATACAGAAAAACACAACTAAAAAACTTTATATTTTGTCGTGTTCCTTCCAGAAATTTTCTGTGAATAGTCACCTGTATTCTAATATATCATACATATTATAGGTTACATTATGTGCTATATAATATATAAATGAGGAGGTATATAGAGGCCTTTTTAGATATGCTTAATGAATATATATTTGTATATTTTAATTAAAATCTCACATAAAATATGATATTAATTTTATTTTTATCCTAAGGTAACATATTAGCTGTAGAAAGTTAGAAAATGTGCATGAGCAAAAATAGATGAAAATCATGTATAGTCTCATCATTCAGAAAAGAGTACTTTCATTTGCTGTATGCCCCCCTCACTTACTTAAATATGCACCCATGAGTATAAAATGCTAAGTCCCATCCCACAGGAGTATGTGTGTAATGGAGTATATGTTCCACGAGCAGGCTAGGGGTATCACCAATGAGTGTCTTAAACCACTGTTTCCTCTTTCCCTTGTGGCTTCCCAGCCACAGACCCACTTCTCACTGTGGAAGGGGACGCTACCTGGATGATGGGCCACTGCTCAGCCTTGGGGGGTCCATGCTGACTCTCCTGAGTTGCTAGAGGCTTTGTGGAAAGATTTCTAAATTTTAAAATCTTTCAAGTGCCAAGTCAGATGGTCTGATAATGGGACTTTACCATAAGCCATAGTTCAGAAAAGACAGTCGAAAGCCTAAGAAAATTTCCCCTCAGATAGGAAGGGAAAGTGGACAGCTCTGCCCGGCCAGGAGGAGAAGCAGAGGAGAGAGGGGACAAAGTAGCAGTTAGACAAGCAAGGCTTGCCTGCCTCCCTTCCTTGGGATAATATCTCAGGGACTAGAGTGTCAGTAAAAACAGAGGGAGCTGGGGAGGGGTCTAAAACAATCTGGGTTAGGGCCCTGCTTTTCTGAGACGCAGTTTGAGGAGCGTCCAGGTCTGTAACTTAGCAGGCATAGATCCAGCATGGTGCCAAGGGATGGGTTAGGAATGAAGGAGGGATTCAGTGTCTAGGCAAATGGGCATGAGACGGCCCTCCTATTCTCACAGCTTGCTTAGGCATCTAGTATATGCCTGATTCCTTTATGGCCCCAGCACAGTAACGCAAAATGCTAAGAAAAGGCTTGGGGTTGAAGAAGCCACAGTTTTTCTCAACCTTCCATTCTAAGTCAAAGGGAAGAAATATGACTGATACACCCACTTTTTAATGCTGTTCAATTCCATTCAATGGAGTTCGCACCCAGCTTGAGGAATAAGCTCTCTTTCAAGTTTAATTCATTCTATTCTATTGTGGTACACACATCATACATGTCAGATTAGGGTACATACTGGGGGACCCCAGCACAGACGCTGTGCCACTGCCTTGGGCCTTCAGAGCTCTGAGAGGGTTAGCCCAGCCATTGTTCTGTTATTCTATTTCTGGTGAAATTATCTTCTCCCTGCTCCTCCAGCCCCAGCACATCCTCTTCTCAATCCTCCATCTCCACCTGCTTCTCACAACCTCCCTTCCATCCCCTGCTTCTGTGAGTCTTGGAGTGCTCGTGGTAGTAGCCAACCTATGCCAGATAGAGCCAGGCCTTAAGGCTATGGTGAGAAAGTCAGAAAAGTGGAACAGGAATGATCATTGGGGTGGAAAATGAATAATAATACCTACTATCATTGTTACTGTTATTTCACTTATAATGATTCTTACTATGTGCCGGGCACTGGTTTAAGCATTTTACATGTACTGTATAGTATGAGCTCATACACTTGTGCTAACTCATGTAATTAACTCAAATGCATAAGTTCATCCTGCATATGTTACAGCCTATGGGGTAAGTGCATCTAGATCCCACTTTAGAGATGAGGAAACCTAGTCACAGAGAGGTTAAATGACTTGTCCTGAGTCACTCAGCTAGTACATGGTAGCTAGAACCCCACCACAGCAGGCTGGCTGTGGACCCTCATAATAAGCCACAGTTAGGGGACACCAAATGAGCTAGACCAAGGCAAGTGGCTGCATTTGGTTTGGGAATGCAAGCTGACCCATAGCGGACCCACAGAATCAAAAACAATCCGTAATAACTTTTGAGAGATTTGCTAGAAGGCAGGGAGTTTAGAGTGCCTATGGCTCCTGCTTTGTAGCTCTGGAAACTGAAGCCGGGGAATTAGGGCTACGTGACATGCCTGCAGTTGCAAGAGGTAGCTGCAAGAGAGTGGAATTTGCATCTGCATTGCACACTAGGTGGGGCAGAGCTAGCGTTCAGGAAGGTGTACATGTCTACACCTGCACAGGCACTTCTGGAGGAGGCAGGCGTGGCGAGCCCCCTGCTGAGGAATGCAGCCAGGGAAGTCATCCTTTGTCTCGCGCTGGTGGCTTTCAAGCAAAGAGCCCAGTGTGTTTTGCAGGCATCCATTTATGCGCTTAGCGCCTGAGCTGCACTGACTGAATGACAGGCGTCCCCGCCCAGCGTCCAGGGACTGTGTCTCCACACGCAGGCAGGGCCAGGGTGAGGTCAGGATTAACCAGAGAAGCTGTGCTCTTCTTGCAGGGCCACACTAGGCCGGGGAGGTGGGGGAGTCCTGCTGAAGCGAGTGGTCCTTGGAAGCACAAAGCATGGAGCTCCCACAGCCAAAGGCCCCAGAGGTTCATCACCAGGGGCCTGTGAGGGGACTATGCTCCTCCCTGTCACAGATGAGGAAACTGAGCCTCAAAATTAAACCTGGACAATGATTTCTGGAACCTCAAATCAAGTCTACTGGCCCCTATGCCAGGTCTATCTTCCAGTACACCATGCTGTTTTGAGTACCTGTGCCATTTAAAATATCAAGTAAAATGGGAACTTGTTGAGTCTAAATCAGGGTCCCCCTGGGAACAAGCTCAGAGGAGCCCCTTGGTATCCAGGTCAGACTATTCATGTGCCCAGTGATGGATGCATTCGAGCCCTGTCTGGAGGCAGGAGAGAATCCCTGTGCACCCTGCCATTGCCCTGCTGCTCCCGCCCCGGCTCTTCTCATCAGACATGACATTTTCATACATGCGCCTCCCACTGTGTAGTGTCTCTTTTCCTCCAACCCCCTCTCCTTTCGATGCCCCCTGAAAGCCCATCTCCTGTAATGAAACCACAGCTATCTTCCTGGAAGGAAAATTACACCACCTCACCCATTTGCGCTTTTGCTCCTCCTTGGTTCTAAACCCTGTAGTTCTCAACTCAGGGTATCATATAAGTCCTTGTGTCCTTTATTCTTGGGCATGGCTTCAGCGTGGGTGTCCTCCCCTGTGTATACTGTCTTACGTGTCGAGGCGTGTTTGTGGTTATTTTGCCCAAAGGAAGACACCATCTCTACAGTAAAGCATTGGCATCATTTCAGTGGCTCTCTGGATCTAGCTAGGGCCATGACCGTGTCAGTCCCCATGACACAGCCAGGTCCTCTTGGGTAGGTGTTACTGCTGTAGGCCTCTTTGCAGGGCCCCATTGCAGGCTGATAAGATGCCATCTGGGTACACAGAGGTCTTTTGCAGGTCGGCCCTTTCCCAGCTCTTCCAGCTGTGTTCTTCCCCCTCCCAAATGGTCCACCTCCACCTCCACCTCTACCTTCACCTCCACCTTCCACCTCCACCTTCACAGGGCCATGAATACTGGCTCCCTTTCCCGTGCCAGGCTCTGTGCTAAGCACTAGCCATGCTTTATCTCGTTAACCCGCACTACAACTTTAAGAGGTGGATATTTTTATCCACATTTAACAGATAAGAAAAATGAGACTCAGAGAGATAAAATAACTTGCCCAAGGTTACATAGCTAATAAATGGCAGGGCCTGGATTTGAACTACCACGTTCTTAACCACTGAGCTCCACTGCCTTGCCTTGTTCAGTCCATGTTGGCTGGTCGATGGACCATCCTCAGAGATGCTGTTTCTGCAGCGAGCACCCCCCTCAAGACTTTGACAACACCCTTACCTCCTCAGTTTACACCCGTGAGCCCTGAGCCAAATCTGAACCTGTTGAGCTTGATCAAAGAATGGATTGTTAATTGAAAGAGAAAACAAAAGATGAGGATGATTCATTTTACTCTCTTCTTTGAGCCACTATGTATTGAGAGCCTTCTGTGTCTCTAGCACTGTTCTAGGTCCCATATGAAATAAATAAAAACCCCTGCCCTCACAGAGGTTACCATCTAGTGAATTAATAGCGTGCCACGTGCTGACAAGCTCTAAGTAGAAAGACCCATCCAGAAGGAGGAGTGAGAACCCTGGGAAGTAGGGGGGCAGCTGCCTCCCTGCCCTGGCAATTGAAGGATGGCCTGAGGCCTCAGCTTTTCATGGGGATGGGTCCTGTTCCAAGGCTGAGAGTGCTGGAGAGGCTGTGAGGGTTTCGGGGGCCCAGAGGTCTCTCAGCCTTCTCATTTGTGCTGGTGGTGATGTGGAGGGCTAGATGTAGGCAGAGGCAGTCCATCTGGAACTCCAGCTTCTGTTGCACGGAATGGCCTTGTTGAACATGATAGTATATACAGATTCTCTCCCATTATCAGTGAGTGAAGGATCCCTTTACAAAATTTCAATTCTTCCCCCTGCCCAAATGCTCCACCTCCATCTCCACTTCACAGGAATCATAACCAGATTTCCTCTCTGACCCACCTCTTCCCTTCTCCCTCCTCCCTGCCCCTGCCCCCACCCCCTCAAATTGGTTTGGCCTAAGGCCATGCAGAGTAATTTACCTAAACTCAACAAATATAATTAGAAAAGTAAATATGTGAGCCAAAAGAGCCTTATACGGTATTTTAAAATCAAATGTAAATAATTTATAACACCATGGTGGGAGGTGCAAAGGCTTTCCAAGCACCGTGTCCTTTGCAGCATTATCTCTTTAAACTAACCCTTACTGCAAACTTGTGATCTAGGCTTTATCATCCCCATTTTGTAAGTTAAAAAACAAACAAACGAAGAAACAAACAAAGAAAACCCCGCAAGACTTAAAAAGTTAAAGTAACATTACCAAAGTTATATAAATGTCAAGGTTGAGTTTTTAACCAAGGTGTGTCTGACCTCCAAGTCTGTGATAGCTCTGTCCCCCTCTAGTCCCAGGGTAACCATTTACGCAGAAAGAGTAACCGTGGGCAAACTACTTTACCTTCCACTGCCTCAGTTTTCCATCTGTAAAATGGGGCCAATGCTGATAGCTAACTTTCCCCTGAACCTCAGTTCTGTTCTGGTGATCACATAAACTGGTGTATAAGAAAGGCCACAGAACTTTCAGATACTGCAAAAATACAGTATTAATCCTACCCTTGAATTTAGAAATGACTATGGCTTTTCTACCATTTAACCTTGTTGGTATCCAGTGGTAGATTTCAGTTTAGAATATCTGGTTGATTTTTTCACATTCCTGTTCTGAGAGTCGTCTCTGGCTGCTGACTGTAAAATCTGTGTTGCTGTCTTCCCAGCAGTTAGCATCTCCTCTTCCACAGCTGTACTTCAGCTGTACCTCAGGCCCCCGATTGCCAAGTCGTATAGATGTTCTACAGCGTTCTTTCTTCTGTAATCCCAAGGGAGCAGTCCATCGACACTCCTTTCCAGTAGTGTGCTGGTAAATGTTTACCACCTGGCTTTCTGATTGTGAATCTGATGTGAATGTTGGTTAATAATTATGTCTGCAATAATAAGTAAGACAAAAGCGAAACAACGAAGGCACATTTCAGAACTTCACTGGTTTTTTTTCCGTAGGAGCCACTTTTTTGCTGAATCAGGTAATAGTTTTCAAAAATGAGAAAAATATTACCTCAATATTTTCTGTTATTCACAATGTCACTGCTACAGACAGAGGGCACTTTTACATCTAATCCTACCGCATTAACATTTTCTCTATCACTGCCTTAAGTCTAAGTAACAACACAACAATAAATCAAGGCCTGAGTGTAGAGTGTGCCAATTTCTGTGGTGTAAATATTCTCACCACAGCCAATTTCAAGTTACCAATGTGATGTTCCTGACTGTGGAATTGGGAAGAGAGTCACAGTAGTATACCACTCTAGAGTATTCCCACCATGTGTATAATAGACATAACCCAAGCACACAGATGATAGTAAACTGTAGTTTAAAAAAATTAGGATCTGATCTGATCTGATCTGTTGTATTATCTTTTTAAAATATAATTAATTAATTATATGTTTATATCATTTAATTTTTAACAATGGCTCTGTTCAACAACCAGCTTGCAAAATTCCTGAAAATTTACCAGTCAGCTTTCACAAGCCAGTGCAAGCTTCAGCACACCACTGTCCCCATTCCTCTTCCCGTTAGTCCTGACGGGCCCTGTGCCATCTGATGGCCACACCCTTTGTTAAATAGCTCCAGTTAGTCCTGATCCACGCAAATCAAGAGAACATGAGTCAATGCTCAGCTTCTCCAAATAAACAACGTCAACAGCTTCAGTCCAGTGGAGTGACTTAATGATCTGTTTCCTTCAATAAACTGTGATTTCTGAACTCAATTCAGATACCTGAGCATCGCAGTAAGCCGAGAGTGAGGCCTGGAGGCGTTCATAATGTAATGTACTAAGTTTAAACTTGGCAAGCGGATGACATTGTGAGAAATGGATTTTCTTAGGCCGATTTTGGGAGTTTGGGGTATTTTTTTAAGAGTTAAGCCAAGGCAAAAAAATAATAATAATAACCCTTGCGATACATCACTTCACAGCTGGTTAGCCCAGGAGAGGCTATTCTGGGATAGTCAAGCTAAAGAACCTCTTTTTAAACTCCAGGCAAACTGGAATCAGGATGCGGCGTTTTTATTTCTGTCTGTCACAGATCTACTGTGTAATCTCTGTCCAGTTAGTTCCTGGGTGGGCCTCAGTTTATCTTCTGGAGAAGTCAAGTCAATTGCCTTTACCTAGGGTATTATTAGATTTTTGAATTGTGGAGACTGAAAAAAGATAGTTGGTAGGGTTTATCAGAGGGTTTGAAGTGTCCACTTGAGGTATTCTAATCAGTGGAGCGTCAGGGAGGGGTGAAGCTGAAGTAGGATCCTATAAGAAATGACAAATGAGCAAGGTGTAGCAGAGAAGAGGAGGAACAGGTAGAGGAAGGTGAAGGCGGGGTGAGGGCCTCCAAGCAACGTCCCGTGAAAATGTCAGGCAAGTGGCTAGAGTAAACTGCGTCCAGTGTTCACTTTGCCAACACGGAGAGTGTGGGCATAAGATGACTTAGTTACAGAGGAAAAAGCAGGCAAGATGGAGCGGGCAGGTGCCTTTTGTCTGGGTTTGACAAGAGAGTTTCCTGGGTAGGGAAGGAATGTGATCAAAGTTAGGATTCTGAGGCCTGCCTGGAAGATGACCAGGGAGTAGGCAAACTTGGACACAAAACCAGCCTCCCAAACACCCATGTAATATCGTGTCCTGAGGCACCGTATAAATAATCTCCCTTCGGTTCATCAGTAGTATTTGTAGTTCTCAGGGTCACAAGCCTCTCTCCTCTGTTGAAAGTGTGAGCCCACCCTTTGCATGAAGAAGCCTTAGAAGGGATCACTGCATACTTCTTCAATTGTCAAGAATACTCACATGTCATGGATATGAATAATACAGTGGACTTTGGGGACTGGGGGGAGGGGAAGGTTGGGAGGGGATGAGGGATAAAAGACTACACGTTGGGCACCGTGTACACTACTCAGGTGACAGGAGTACCCAAATCTCAGAAACCACCACTGAAGAACTTATCTATGTAACTGAAAACCACATGTTCTCCAAACACTATTGACATTTTTAAAAAATCCCACCATGCCTTAAATTTATGTCATCTTACTTTTTTTGTTAGCAGCCTTGAGGGAAGGGGATAGAACCCCAATTTTAGCATCAGAGCAACTGAGACTTACAGAGATTAAATGACTTGCTCCAGATTACAACTGAGACTCAAACCCATCGCCTGGCCACAAATCTTGTGTCCTATCTACGCCAGTCTGTCTCTGGTAAACCTAACTACTTGGTCAGCTTTTCCCATCCATAGCCAGGTACCTTTTGAAATAACAAACCATCTGATCTCTAGAAAAACTGAAAGGCCGGTTTCAGTTGTCAGACACGCCAAGCTCCAGAGAGTCTTTCCCAAACATTCTCTGGAAAGCCCAGAGATTCCAAATTCCAAAGCCAGCCAAATTTGAATTTCCTCTATAAAGAGATAGTCCCTCCTGGTTTAGAACATAACCTTCCTCATTAGGCTAGTTCCATGTTTTGTAATAACTTTTGCTTACACCACAAAATTGTCATAGATTATGAAAACACAAAGGCCTTGGAAAAAAGGCCCAGAGCCCCCTGGAAGTCATTATTTCTTCCTTTAGCAATTGCTGAGTTAAGCACCATAAATATGGTTCCCATCCTGCTCCCCTTCCCCCGCCCTCCCCGCCCCCCACGATCTGCTGGACACATGTTCAGAAGAAAGCAGGGACGTGGGGGTGGAAGAAGATTCACATGTCATGAATCTTGAGCACTGAAAAGAAAAAGTGCGGTGATGGCGGGGAGTTTGCAGCCCTGGAAATGGAATCTCTGAAGGATTTATTGCCTTTGAGTATCTCACAAGGCTTCTTTTTTTTTTTAATAAAAATCTGTAGCTTATGGCATTTTTTTTTTTTTTTATAGGGCAGTAAACAAGAGCTCTGAAAGGGGAAGGAAGCCAGGAGAAAGCCAGCTCCATTAGTCACGCAGCAGCATATCCTGTCACAAAGGACCCCAGTTGAGTAATCGCCCAAAATATGCCTGTTATTTTTTTTCTGTCAGAAAAAAAAAAAAAAAAAAAAAAAAAGGGGGGCCTGCCAAAATGTACTGTAAAAAAAAAAAAAAAAAAAAAAATTCTAGTCTCTCAGGCCCAGAGAGGGAAAGGAAAATAAAGAAGAAACAGGCATGACGGAACCCTCTCCCCAACTTACCTGGAAGAGAAAAAGCTTTCAGACTTTTCACCGTGCAGAGCCCGGCAGCCTTGAAGAAAGCTACAGCCTTGGGATGGTCCAGGTCTCAGAGTCTCCATAGCTACTTGGTGCCAAGAGCTTAGAAAGAGGAGGGGCGGTCGGGGAGGGTAGAAGGAGGACGGCACCGGGGGAGAGGAAAAATGAACAGAAAGTAGCCCAGGATATTGAACCAGTCCTTTGATGAGCTTCAGATGGGCGAGGCCATTGCTCATAGGAACTTGCAGGAGCCCACACCGGTTCCATGAATATTGCATGAGCCCAGCAGGGGCCAATGATTTCCGGCCAATGGCCAAGCCTGCTCCGTAAGCTTTTTTGATGGCCTCAGCAAAACCTGCGCTGCCTCAGGCCTCCACCATGCCCTGTGGGTGCTTGGGCCACAGACTGGACAACAAGGACTTGTGTGGAAGGACAGCGGACTCTGGAGAGGTCTGAAACGAGGGGTGGGAGAGACAGCTGGTCAGAGCTGCCTGCAACCTCCCGTGTTCTCCTGGATTGGCTTTCTAAAACCCAGGCGGACAGGCTTCTGGTGGGAAAACTGAGGCCCAGCAAACAAATGTGTTCCCAAGCCCAGTTCATTCACTGCCTCTGTCCCATGCTCTCAGTCTCATGACTCTCAGGACCAGGACACAAGAGAAGGTACATCCCAGCACAGAACACTCTTGGAAAGCCATCATTTCCCTCCTGCTGACATTCTGAGCCACTCAAGAGTTGTCCATGGGGAACAGGCTTTCTGTACTCATTTGACCAAGAAATAGCAGAAACCTTCTCCTTAAGAAAGAGAGTAGGCCAGACACAGTGGCTGATGCCTATAACCCCAGCACTTTGGGAGGCTGAGGCGGGAGGATTGCTTAAGCACAGGAATTCAAGACCAGCCTGGGCAACACAATGAGACCTCGTCTCTACAAAAGATTTTAAAATTAGCTAGGCATGGTCTCAGTTACTCAGGAAGCTGAGGTGGAAGGATTGCTTGAGCCCAGGAGGTTGAGGCTGCAGTGAACTGTGATCATGCCACTGCACTGTGGCCTAGGCAATAAAGCAGAAGATTCTGTCTCAAAAAAGAAGAAAGAGAACAGAGCCCTACAGAGGAGAGAAAGGGTGGGCACACTGTCACTTTTACTCCCAAGCTCCCTGAATCTCTCCTAGAGGAAACACCCCAAACCTGCCTCCACTCTGTAGGAGCAGGCTGGGGAAGACCCTTTCCAGGGACACCTCCAGGGTCCTGAGCTCTAACATTTGGCTGCTTGGCCATTCTGGGCCAAGAAGACTCCTTCCCTAGCCCAGGACCATGCGTCTCCCTGATGATTGCTGCAGAAAGGCCCAATTTTCAGGGGCCTACCCAGTCCTTCAATAACTTTGAGCCACCCATGTTGTCTGAGTCACAGTCCAAAGGCAGTCGTGAGCTTCGAGGCCCGTGCTTGCCTGGCCACTGCTTCCCCTGGGAGAGCTGACTGGTTTCCTGCAGAGCTGGCCTGCAAGCTGGAAGGGCAGATTCTCCTCCCAGCCTCCTGGCTAAATTGCTGTGGAATTTCAGGCCACTCAAGTGAACTTTCTGTGACTATCTTTTCCTCCCTTCAAGATTTATCAAATATTAATTGGAGCTTCTATATGCCTGCAATATGGAGGTCCCAAGAATTCAATAGGGAATAATACAGATACAGTTTTTCTTCACGTGAAGCCTGGGCAACCTTTTTCCTTCCTTCCTTCCTTCTTTCTTGAGTTTCCTGATGCAAGCCCCTTGGATGGTGAGCCAGGGGTGGGAAGGTAGTAGTGGGGGTGGTTATAAATACAATAAAAAGTAAACCCACACAGTGCAAAAACCCTATGTTCATACTATTAATAGTATTTCCAAATTGCTTACACGTAGAAGACAGTTCCTTAGCAACATGGTTGTAATGAGAATTCCACAAGGGCATCTGGAATTTACTCTGTCAGACATTCCAGCTTATCAGGAAATGAAAAGGACCAAGACCACTGTATAATGCACAAACTATGCTAATGCCCATCACGAGCGTATATCAGACCCCAGTTACAGGACTGACCTGTGGGGACTCCCCTTGTCTCAGCGTTAACCGCATCAAGTACCTGAGGCCTGCTGTCCTCCTCAGGGCTCAACGCCTTCTGGCAGCCAGGTCCTTCATATAATCCAAGAGTTGAAATCACTGTCAACACAGCTCATTGACTGATGTTCCAGGGTGACAGGCCTGGCATGTGAACACACGAGTGATGCTGTTATCCCTCGAATCACAGGTAAGTGAGGTCTCTGGAGGTGCCCACCCCCACACGAATTTCCCTTTGTGATAGCAGTGACATCTGAGCATGGGGCCACAATTTAGGCTCACCCCCTCCCCTTCCTGTGCCCCAGAAGGGGGCTGAAGGCGGGTCCTCACAGCAGAAAAAGCCCCACTTCCTCCGAGCTCCAGACAGCCCATCTCAGCTGTGTTGGGCCTTACAAGGCTGCGGTCAACAGGCACCCAGGTAATGAGGTCTTTCTCAGCCTGTTGTTCTCGTTAGCCTTTTGATGTTTCAGAGCTGACGAGGTCAGCATCTTCCAGGCTGCAGGAAACATGCCTGCCAGGTACACCTTTCAAGCAGCTGATTAATATGTGGTCTCTGGTCAGAGGAGAGTGTGAGGGCTGCTGAAATCACTCACCAGCTCAGCTCCTGTGTCTTTGGGAAATGCTTTCCTCTCAGCAAGAGGCCTCCAGCTGAAGAGTAAAGACATCGACCTGAAAGGGTAAAGTTCTAGCATCCAGCAAACTATTCTACATCCTGAATGAAGTGAGAAATGGTAGGCTCTTCACCTGCCAGGGCCTGGGGGCCTGTGTCCCAGGCTGCTTAGGAATCCAGGCCCAGCACTGCTCATCTGTGATGCTGATGAGAAGCCTGTGAGACAGGGAGCCTCACTGGGCCTCCAGAGTCCACTCTCTGGCCTGTTACTTGGCACCATCAGATCTACACTAGGGACGTGTAACTAGAGCCTTGGAGTGCATGAAGAGTTTGTAGCCTGACAAAGCACTTACTGACCAAGGAAAATCAACTTCAGGTGCAGCAGGAAAGGTCTGGTACCAAGAATGTCTGGGGTTTTGAGACATTGGAAAAGATTGTCTAATAATGTCACGGGCTCCCTTCCCTGGAAATATCTGAAAATAGGGTAAGTTCTCTTCAATTTTGGATGGGTCAGCCTCGTCTTGAGGTAAAGAGATGGTTACATCAACCCATGTAGAGGGCTCATCAGCACCTTTGAGTCTATAAGAGTATATATTTTCATACAAAGAAAACTATTATGGTAAAATATACATAACGTAGAAGATACCATTTTAACCACGTTTAAGTGTACACTTCAAAGGCATTAAGTACATTCACATCGTTGTATAACCTTTGCCGTCATGTCTCTACAGAACTTTTTCATCTGCCCAAACTGAAACTCTGTGCCCATTAAACACTATCTTCCCTTTCCCCTCCTCCCAGCCCCTGGCAACTACCATTCTACTCTTCATCTTTATGATTTTGACTACTCCAGGTACCTCACGTAACTGGAGTCATGCAGTGTTCTTGTGTGACTGGCTTATTTCACTTAGTATAATGTCCCCAGGTTTCATCCATGTTGTAGCATGTGTCAAAATTTCATTCCTCTTGAAAGCTGAATATTATTCTATCGTGTGTGTGTGTGTGCATGTGCCTGTGTGTGTGTGCATGTGCCTGTATGTGTGCGTGTGTATATATGCCTGTGTGTGCGTGTGTGCACGTGCCTGTGTGTGTGTGTGTGTGTGTGTGTGTGTGTGTGTGCATGTAGCACATTTTATTCATTCCTCTGTGATGGACACTTGGGTTGTTTTCACCTTTTGGCTATTGCGAATAATGCTGCCATGTACTTGGGGGTAAAAATGTCTGTTTCTCCTTTCAGTTCTATACCCGGAAGTGGAATTGCACAAAGAAAAATTTAAAGACAAAAGTGCTGTGCCCCCGGAAGAAAACATGTCAGTGTCCTCACATCATGATCCCATATGGAGAGGAAACACCTAAAAAAATTGGGCCACAGTAAGACAAGGTAAGAAGGACTAAAGAAGCATGAAAGAAGGAGCTGATTGATTCCTGGAGCAACCAGAGAAGCCTTCACAGAGATGAAACTGGAGCTGGATTCTGATGGGTAAGTAGGAGTTTGCCTGGTAGAAAAAAAATAGAGAAGGGCGGGAAAAGAAACAACCCTTTCCAAAAAGGAGGAGACGAACATTACACGTGCATGTCCTTGGACTCGGCAATTGCACTGGCAGGAATTCTGCCGTTATCCTCACACGCTTATGCTCAAGGCATATGTCTGAGGATCGTCATAGCAGCAATACCTGCAAGACTTAGACACTGGGAGCAGCCTGTGGCCCCTCACTAGGACACTGGTGAAATACACCATGGTACAGTCACACTGTGAATTCCCACACAACCATTAAAAAGAATGAAGGAGGGCCAGGCGCAGTGGCTCATGCCTATAATCCCAGCACTTTGGAAGGCCAAGGCGGGTGAATCACCTGAAGTCAGGAGTTTGAGACCAGCATGGCCAACATGGTGAAACCCTGTCTCTACTGAAAATATAAAAAATTAGCCGGGTGTGGTGGCATGTGCCTGTAGTCCCAGCTACTGGGGAGGCTGAGGCAGGAGAATTGCTTGAACCCTGGTTATGGAGGTTGCAGTGAGCCAAGATCACGCCATTGTGCCCCAGTCTAGGTGACAAGAGTGAGACTCCATCTCAAAAAGAAAAGAATGAAGGAGATCTCCAAGTGCTGATAGGACAAGAATTCCAGACTTGTTTTTAATTAAGAAAAGAAGATATCACTGTATGCCCAAGTTCTTTTCCTGGAAGGACACACAAGAAACTCTTAATAGTCATTACCTTTGAGAGGAGCAACTGTAAATTGAGGGGAAATTAAATGTCCATGTTATGCTTTCTAATGTGTATGTATTGCATTTAAAATAAAGGGAACAAAGCCGCGGCGGTGATGAGATTACAGGCCACTTTTATATTCTTTGCACTTTTTTAAATTTAAAATATTTCTTAAAGAAAAGCAGCTATTTTTCTGGAATTGTTTAGTCCCAATGGCTCCTAAAGGCAGAGAGATGGAGGAGCTGTTTAAAGGGCCATCCTTTAGGAGCTTCTCTTAGAGCTTTGCAAGGATTCCTTTCACGACAGAAGGGTATCCTCATCTCCTCAACAGAAAAACTTCGGGGCCAAACAAGAATTAGGCCAAAAGCCCAGGGCCAGGTATGTGTGGTTCCGGGGTGGGGGGTCCCACAATGCCTGGCCCGTCGTCCCGGGGACAGGACCCCTGTACCTCTTTTGCACTTCTCTGTACCCATCGTGGGGAACCACATCTCTGGGACAAAAACCCAGCTACACAGGGTTAATCCCTGCGCTTTGCTTCACTGAGCATGGCTGAGGAGGGGGGTGTGGTGAGAGCAGGGGGGGCTCCATCCAGCCCCAGCTCCAGGCAGCATTAATAAAATGCAGGTGTTTGTGTATGTATAACCGCTTGAGGGAGGAGGGAAAAAGAGCCTTGACTGCAGCGAGCGCTTAGAAACAAGAGCCCAGTGCGGTCGAGGAGAATGTGCCTGCAAATAATGAGAAAGCGTTTTGCAGAGAGCCTTGGCTTTAGGGTTAAGAA